AAACCCCACAAATCGCACAAGATGTCGCCACCGCTCCGCAAGATGCGGGGTAAGGCGCCATTCGACGTCACAAAACGCCTTTTTTGTTTGGAGTCGGAACTTATCTCCGAGTTATCGAAAGGCTCCTACTCCCCTTCGGTGAGTGTTTTCGTATTGCCCCATTGCAGCGAAAAAGAGGCGCCTCAGGCGACTGCCTAAAAGAGGCCCGAGTTCAACTTTGGGATGGCCTAGCCCCCGAGCGATTAGACACGAGCAGTAGGTCACGGCTCGGAGAGCAGCTCGGATATTCGGGCGCCAGATAGAGCCCAATGATTACGCACGCGGGTTCAACTAGAGTCGCGAAAATTCCCCTAAGATGTCGCCACCTGCCGAACCAAACTTGCACGAACCTTGTTGTCGGTGGGTACAGTCTACGCCTTCTCGCTCCTGTGGCCGTCTACGAGCGGTAGAAGTCTCGCGCAGGTACGTGCGTACTACGCATCAACGATGGCTTCAAAACAACTCGTGTTCGGAAACGCTTCGGACATGCGCTCCTCGCTTTTATGAACGTTCGAACGTGCCCGGGGGTGTTTCCCGCGTGTGCGTGTGTGTATGGAACAGCACCAATGCACGTGCGTGTGTGTTTATGTTACTGCTGCCCGCGCGTTGTTGTACACCATCGTTTGTTTGGATCGTCGGTCTGCCTCGGTCTCGCGTTTCCGCTAAACGGTGAAGCATTTCTAAGGTAGACCGTATCCGGAGAGCAAGTTCGTCTGCTTCTTGCGCAGTAGTTGCCGTGACGTCATAAAGACGCCGACCTCTGATTGGTTCTGGTGGAAGGATAGCGAATCGACCTCGAAGCAAGCTGCCTTGAGGTCTACCCACTGTTCTTCAATCAGAACCAATCGGAGCCCGGCGTCCCTACGTCACCAAAACCCCTGAAAAGAAAAATAATAATAAAGCAGACGAACTTGCGTTCCACATACGTTGTGTCGTCTTTGCGCGTTTGCTCTCACGCAAAACACACACTGAACGAAAAAGTGCACGATCGCGGCGCACTCACTGTACCCGGGTGGTTGGACGGATGTCAATGGCTATATGCCCTTTGTAACGGCTGGTAGCTTGCGCCACCTAGCTAGCCTAAGTGAATTCCAGTTCTTTTGGCGCTGGTTGATTGGGCTTCGTCGAGTCGTAGCGTCGGCTGCCGTCAGTGTTAGCGCGAAGCAGAGTATAGGCTGCCGCCGAAACGGGTGTGCACCCGTCCGTCGCAGCTTATTGGATAAATTTATCCGGAAAATAAAACAAATCGGCAGCGACCTTTACCTTTAAATTTCTGTAATGCACAAAATACGTTATGCGGAATCGCTGAGGGAATTGCTGTGTCACGTGACGCGTATTTCCCCGCTAAATTTAGCGGGGAACTGAATTGGTCTGTATGTCCCGTGATGTCAGGTCACGTGACCTCAATTTTCCCGCTAAATTTAGCCGATTCCCGTATAGGTCTCGGGCGGGGTTGTAAAGTACCTAGGTACGAGTAACTGGAAATCGGTATCTAGGTACTTTTGTTGTACCTGAGGTTAATTGGTGGCGGAGTGGCTTCTAGATGGTGCTCATTTTTGAAAAGGGTACATTATGTGACAATTCTGTTTAGAGAAAAATAACGAAGGACGTTTGCAAATCCCTGTAACGCGAAATTAGAGCGCAGCTCTTGAGGGTGAGGAGAAAGGGTACGGAGGGCAGGGTATGCCCCTCCTCCTCTTTCATACCCTCTCTTCCTCCTCCATCATACCAACTCATCCTCCCACAGTTTTCCCGTTAAATTTAGCTGAAAAATTCCCGCCACGTGACCTCAACAGCAATTCAATTCTCCGCTAAATTTAGTGGGGAATTGAATTGCTTTTGAGGTCACGTGACGTCAATTTTCCCGATAAATCTAGCGGAGAAACTGAATTTCCCCACTAAATTTAGCGGCAAAACTGAATCGGCGTTGAGGTCACGTGACGTCAATTTTCCCGCAAAATTTAGCGGGAAATAGTATTGCTGTTAAGGAATTGTAGCCCCGTGACGTTAATTTCCCGCTAAATATAGCGGAGACAACTCCTCGAACCTATTTTATCTAAACGCAGTGTTCACTAATTAGAAGAAAATTTACTGTATAAGCATCAGCAGGAGTTTTTGCGGAGTCTACCAACGCTCACGCCGCTGCTTGAATGTAAGCATGAGTTTGCGTATGTTATAAACGAACGTGGTCAAGTTGATGTGATGTGTAGGGACATGTCAAATGCTTTGACCGTGTTCCGCTTGACAAATTGCTTGAATGGCTACGTAATTGTACTGAATCGGAGGTTGTGAATATGGATACGTTAATATTAAGGTGAACGAATGCAGTATGTCAGTTATAACAATGTATGCTCTCCCCCATTGGAAGTCTATTCAGGAGTACCCTAAGGTTCGGTTTGAGGACCTCTCTTATTTAGCTTGTGTTAATAACGTAGCTTCGAATCTGCCTTCTTCTGTACATTTTAAACATTTCGAGGATGACAGTACGATTTTCCTAAAATTAGGGCAGTTCGCGGTCAAGAGTTACTAAATGCGTCTTTGGCGGTAATCAGCTCAGTGTGTGCTACAAGGGGCATGGCTATTAATTTTAACAAGACAGTGTTCCGTAGCATTACGAACATGAAAAAATTGTTAGATTTTCATTATATTATAGGGAACACAAAATTTGCCAAAGTAGATGAAGTTACGTGCCACACAAATAGAAAGAGTTGAGAACCTTGCCCTACCATTTATCTTCCCGGAATATAGGCGTACCTCGTCCTTTACTGCAGTGAGAGCTGAGGCGGAGCTGAGTGGCCTTAAAAACAGAAGAATCATTTGTAGATTGAAAAAAAAGTAGATTGAAAGAATTATTCGTTGTTGTAAACGCACTGACAAAAGCTGATTCTACAAAATATGTGTTGCGTTCGACAACCCGTTCCCAATGAGCGAGCAACGCCAAAACAATTGCACCGTATCAGTACAAGAACGATGTGTTAAAATATTCATTATTTTGCAGAAAATTAATTGAGTGGAACGCTCTGCTAGTAGACCTTGTCACTTGTTCCAGCCATGAGCTGGTCAGAGTCCAATGAACTGTTTTTTTTTAATTAAGTACTGGATGTAAAAACTATGCGCAGGCACTTCGAATTCCCGGCGTACGCTTCACCCGCACAGAGCGCTTGATTGTGTATTTATAATGTGTTTTTACGTTTCCTCTCCCGCGTAGACCGGAAGGCCCGCAGTATGGTAAATAAATAGAATAAATAGAAACTGAATTCGTTCGTAGGTGACGTGACACCAAGTCATGGGACGGAAATTTAGCGGGGAATGGAATTTGTGTTGAGGTCACCTGACGTCAATTTTCCCGCTAAATTTAGCCTGATTACGAAGACGGCCAAGCCGACTCCACAAAACCCGGAAACTAGCGCCTAAGGACTGCGCTCAAGAAAAGAAAAAAAGAAATGATTCGAAGACGGCACCACGTTGAGGAGGACAGAGAGCGCCGAGCTGAACGAATTTCCGAAGGCCGTGTTCCAAAATTTACTCGATCTTACTCCAGGGTGAGGGTTTGGTGCCTTGGCGTTCCAAAACTTACCCGCGTTCAGCGCTTTTCAATCTGTCTGGTCACGTGATACGACCCGCCGGAGTAACTCGGATCCATTTGGTTTATATTTGGAACACCGCCGAACAGATGCAGAGAATTACGAATGGCTCTTGGTAGCGCGTTATAGTCACTATTGAATTAATAATTGGATAATGCACAAAATGTCCCCTCCACGCAAAAAAATAAATAAATAAATAAATAAAAAGAATTAGCAGTGGTTTTTTTTTTTCATTTTACAAAAATAAAGTATGCATTAGAAAACGATCGTATTTCTCACAAATGTAGCCATAGCGGTCGAAATCAGATGCCAAAGTTTCCAAGCTAACCATTACCTTATTAAAAAGTTATAAACAATTTTCTGAAATTTCCAATTGGAAAATGGCGGCAAATGGACCTCTCAAACTCGTGGAGCTGAATGGCGGTTACCGAATACTGTTGAAGACGGGCACCATCTTCCCATGGAAAGTTTTCGAAAGTTGCCTAAAACTTTTGACTGAGGTAGCGGATAGTTCTGAAACCTTAACATGTGGTCTGGATCGCTGGCGCTACATTTCGGCGCAGAATGAGCGTTCGGCTGTGGATAGTTTCTTTTTGCGGTAAAACAAAAAACAAAAAAAAAAAAGAAATAAACGAGGTAATTCTTTCTTCTCTTTCTTTTTCGGAAATCCTTTTCCGCTCTCTCTAAAAAAGGAAAGGAAAAGAAAAAAAACATCTTGTGCATTGCATTTCAGATAAATAAATGCCTATTTAACTGTACAACATTGTTCTGTCCAGTGCACCTTCTGAACATATATGACTGGGATCAAAATTGTTTTTGAGAATCTTCAGAAATCACTAACTCCTATCATTTTTATGACTTGGAGGCCGTCGTCGAGCTCAAAAATTACGCTTTTGCTACAGTCGCGAGGCTGGCAAAAGGAAATTAGCAATTACATAAAATAAAATAAAAAAAAGAGTTGTGGGTCTGTCGAAGCTCGATGCATTTTAGGGACTTCCAAATGCGAAGCATTCATTTCAAACTTTCCTAAATCTGAGTCGCTTCGGTTTTTTCGTTGTGCCCAGCAAGTTTGTAATTGGAACTGTATGTTCGCTTCACTTAGCTAAAAATATATATTTTTGCGGGAATCTTAAGAACTTCCTCATTTGAAGCATCCCATTGACGGCGATAAAGACGGTACCGATCTTGTCTCAGTGCGACGCTCAACTTTTACACGGAAAGTTGATCCCATCTTCGGTGACACGCCCGGTACGCGTATCGCGCGATATCATCCAGGGCGCTGCGTTAACTCCGATATCAGTTATTTTTAGGTTTTGCTCCCGTCGAAAAGATAGGTTATCATGCCGCTGGAAGCAAAAGCTTCGAATAACAAGGCTCAGTAACAATAGGAACACGTCGCGCGCGCAGGTACAGAGAGATTGGCCTACGAAACAACTGGTTTCGGAAGTCTTGAACGCATCCACACGCTCTACATATCCACGAATCCGTGAGTGTGTGTTTGTGTGTGATATATACGTTCATTGCTTCGCATGTGGCTCGGATGTGCAGGTCTTTATCGATACATGTGTGATTTTTGACGTGTTTATTTGTCTCCGTATCTTAAGTCTACACGGTGTTCCATGGACGTGCGTGTGAAAGTAAAAAATAAAAAGACTTCGGAATGATTTCTCGAGTTCGGCAGACATCGCTACACGAATATGCAAAATTATGATTTTCAATGAATGACCGAATATGTAGGAATTATATCTTAAAAGGTTTGCCCTACTTGGCCCGTATCGAGATGAGCAAACTTTCACACCGTGGCTCGCCTTTTCAAAAACCACGCGACACTTAAAAAGTGAAATAAAGAAAAGTGCCATTGGCACAATTGGCTTTGGAAGGTTCGCAGCCCCCGCCTGCGGTGCAGACTGGCACCACGTACACGGCTCAGCTGGGTTCGGCCGGAAACGGGGCGCTACACTTGAAACGGGTGACCAGATTCTGTCCTGTACAAGTTGCATTCACGGGCTCTGAAGTGTAGACTTTTCTTTTATTTTTGTTAAGCTTGAGATATTTTTTTGAGATCTGTGAAAACTGCACTAATCTGCTCCTGGAAAGGTAGGTTCAACGGCCAGGGCGACATTATATAGGGGGATAATCGTCGCGGTATGTCTGACATTCATCTAAATTTGATGAGGCTTAGCAAGTTTCCAATTGGGACTATGTGCTTATCTTCACGAACAAAAAATTTAAGTAACGAATGTTTAGTTAATTATTGTACTTATCTTGGTGACGGACCCCCCAATATATGTCCCCTCGGAGGTATAAAAAAGCTCGCACAGACTGCGTTGCTGGAGTTTTTTGCGATTTTTTCAAAAGCAGCATTTAACCCCCCCCCCCCCCCAAAAAAAAAAAAAAGAAAAAAAAACGCTATAATTTTTTTACCGTAAAAAATGTATCACGCTGCTTACCTAATTTTGTTGCAGGACGTCGTTCTCAATGATGAGCTTGTTATCGGAGAAGGCACTGTTTTTCTGGGACTGGCGGTGGCTGACGACTGGCTTGGTGTTCCTGCTCTCGTATCACGTGGTGCGCTTTTATCGCAAAGTATCCAAGTACCCCAAGGGACCTTTTCCGCTGCCCCTGGTCGGAAATATATTGAGTGAGTAATTTGTTATTATCCCCGAGCGAAAATAAATGTCGGTAGACAGAGAATTCCTATCGTCACTGGCAGCCAGTGCTGTAAGCGTTACCGAAGAAACGCAAAGAAATACGTGTCTCGTTACCCGCGAATAAAAGGAACGCGTTAACGACTTACGTTACTTCAAATTACAATGAACGTGATACCGCTACCGTTACAGATAAAAAGTAAGGCACGTTACTTTTGCGTTAGCTTACATTTCTTCATCAGTTAAAACGTTTTTACTATTTTAAAGTTACATGTACGCATAAGCACCATATTTCAAGAAACTTATGTTCATGCAAAAGCTGAACACGCATACCTTATCTTTTGTTGCGAATTCACCTGGGGAAAGAGAGAAAGCAATTTTAAGGGGTGTGGGATGAGTGCAAGGATTCGTGTGACTTGACGCCTAGAAACGCGATAAAAATGAAGGTTACTTTTTTAAGGTTTAGGAGGATCTGGTGAGTAAAGGCTCTGTTATACTCCGACGTAACGCGCGCGCAGGCGAACGCTGGCTGAAGTCGGCTACGTCACGTCAGTCACGCCGCGCGCGTCAAAAATTCGCTCTCTTTATACTCCGGCGGCCCTGGCGACTCCCGCGGCTGTGCGTCGGTGGGCCGCCGGCGTGGCGCATGCGCAGAGTCTGACTATGAGGGCGCGTTTCCTGCGATAGTGCGCCATTTCCGGTTCCTTTTCGTTTCGAATAGCAGACGAGAATTCTCGCGCTTCTTGTACGCCAAGTTCGAGCGATGGCGTGGACGTACCTTGCACGACGAAAACTCGGGCTTGCACTGTTGGTGCACTACCTGCGCCGGAAGCGTAGGCGGTCAATGTACATGCGGTACATCTTTGACAGGCGCACGGTCTACGGTACTCAATCTTACTCGTGTCGTAGACACACGGGTGAGGACGAATTCCCTCGATCAGCTTCTCGACGATCGAGTCCACTCTTCGAACATGACGCCACACGGAGTGGTGCTCCCGTCGTCTGCTATTGCTCGTATTCGCCTCGAGGGCTACCGGGAGCCAGCGCGTGATGCATCCTGGTCCGGCGCCGGCCGCGTCAGCGACGCCAAACCAGGATGCATCACGCGCTGGCTCCCAGTAGACCTCGAGCAAAGCAGACGACAGGAGCACCACTCCGTATGGCGTCATGTTTGAAGAATCGGACTCGGTCGGGTCGAGAATCTGATCGAGGGAATTTGTCCTCACCCGTGCGTCTACGACACGAGGAAGCTTGAGTACCGTAGACCGTGCGCTTGTCAAAGATGTACCGTATGCACATTGACCGCCTACGCTTGCGGCGCAGGTGGTGCACCAACAGTGCAAGCGCGAGTTTTCGTCGTGCAAGGTACGTCCACGCCTTCCCTCGAACTTGGCGCCCAAGAAGCGCGAGCATTTTCGTCTGCTATTTGAAACAAAAAGGAACCGGAAGTGGCGCACTCTCGCAGGAAACGTGCCCTCGTAGTCAGGTTCTGCGCATGCGCCACGCCGGCGGCCTACCGACGCACAGTTGCGGGAGTCGCCAGGGCCGCCGGAGTGTAAAGAGGGTGAATTTTTGACGCGCGCGGCGTGACTGACGTGACGTAGCCGACTTCAGCCAGCGTTCGCCTGCGCGCGCGTTACGTCGGAGTATAACAGAGCCTTTAACGTAAGTGCGTTACCGGCTACTGGAAATAAGTAACGTGAGCACGTTATGTGTTACGCTTTTGAGATGTAACGAGTACGTTACTACGTTCCAGTGTGACATTGAACCGACTACGCGCCGAGAACGAATAGAAAAAGTTTTCACGAGACGAGATTCGCTCATAACGCAGCTTAAAGTCGCCTGGGTTATACACACTCCAGCAAAGCTTGTGCGCGTATACTTTCCCCGCAAAGTGCTCGGAAGATCTCATGGCTGAAATGGATACACCAACATTCTGTTTACAAACAGAATGTTGGTGTTTCGCTTTGATCGCACCAGGTGTGAGCAGAAAAAAAATTCGAGAGGAGCGTCTTCTGCGCATGCGCGGCGCTGACAGCAGCGCCACCGTAGTGGTGTCACGTGAGAGAGTCTAGTTGGCGCACAGAGGGAGCTGGGCTAACGACGGAGCTGAAAATACGCATGCGAAGAGCCAGTTCGTCCGCTTCTTTTTTTGCAAGGGTTGAGATTACGTCAGAATAACGAGCTCTGATTGGCTGTGATTGAAGGATAGAGGGTGCACCTCAAAGCAAGCTCCCTTAAGGCCTACCCCGGCTTCCCTCAATCAGAACCGATCGGAGATCGTTATTCTGACGTAACCTCAACCCCTGCAAAAAAGAAGCGGGCTGTGACAGAGCGCACCAGGTTTTACGTGCTTCATTCATGCCCAATGTACCGTCGCAGTCTGCCTTTTTTTTTTTTCTGGGTGCAAATTTATTTTTAGCTTCGTCGTCCTCCGAGTTCCTTTCCGTAGGTTGCGGCGATTGGCTTTTCTGAGGGATCTGCCGGCAGTCTTGGGTAGTAACGCGTTACTGTAACTTAGTTACTTTTTAGTAACTTGTAACTGTAACGCGTTACTTTTCAAAAATGTAACTTGTAACTGTAGATCTATTACTTTTTGTCAGGTAACGATGAAGGTAACGACGTTACTTTTGCGGTTACTTTCCAGTTTCTTTCTCAATAATCTATCATTGAACGAGTACAATCTAGCTATTTCTTGCACTTCCCAAATTGTTTTTTCCGACATTTCGAGTGTTAAGTTGGCCTTGCGCAAACTTGTGAATACGTTCTTTCTCGCGAGTCACGACCCGAATATAGCCACACGTAGATCTAATGGAGCAAAAAAATATCGAGTGATCCTTACGCACGCGCTTGTACTTTGTGACTGAACACTGACATCTTAGTATCTTGAAGCACTAGCTATGTTGCGGCCTTTCTTTTTTCTGCGCAAACGTTTTTTGATCGGGTGAATCAACCTGAAAACAACAATACACGTGGAGGGCACCTGGCATGTTTCGTATTTTAACTAGCGTTACTACTACGAAATGCGCATGTTGCGTACCTTCATTTGCGCCACGATTCTGGCGTGGTGTCAACAGTCGAGACAAAATTTATTGCTGTTTGCGCGGGGTTTGTTTCTGGCTTGCCGTGTACGAACTAAATATGTCCAGCGTCTATATATGAACCCAGCGCAACCATCAACGAGGCAGCAATGTGCTAGTTCTACTAAGTTTAGCGCATTTGTATTGGGTCCGCGTTCGCACCCGCGCAATTCCTTCCAGCGCGCCACTTAAGCGCCTGTTCAACAAAGGCAGGGATATGTTCGCCATCAAACGAAGGCAACTTTCAGACACTAATTTCAAGAATCAACTGCTGCTAAGTTGCAGCATAAAGTAAAAAGCGCACTTTTTATTTTATGCAATAAAACTTGGTGCGGGGCGTTTTCTAGTTTTTCCCAAATTTTTGTCTTAGAGAAAAGTAACTGAAAAGTAACGTCGTTACTTTTTAGAAGTAACTGTAACTGTAACGAGTTACTCTTGTTGCGGTAACTGTAACGGTAACTTCGATACTTTTTTAAAGTAACTGTAACTGTAACGAATTACTTTTTAAAAGTAACTTACCCAAGACTGTCTGCCGGACAGTAGATGCAGCGAGGTTGTTGAGGTGCGAGAGGCAATCAATGCCAGATATATGCATATCTGTGTCCCTATCTCAGCGCAGCGCAAAACAACGGCTCCGAAAAATACATTTGCTGAATACGTCTTTCAGAATCGTTTCGACGTTCGAGAAAAACCATCCAAGCCAAGTAACCTACTATGTAAAGCCAGGTCTGAAAACAAAACTCGCTTCGATTGTTATATAACCAATGCCTGTTCGAGAACTAGGAACAATGCACTTGTTGGTGAGCGCGTTGGTAATGAAGTAACTTTAGAAAAAAGATTCTCAAGTTACGTAAGAAGAATGATTAAAATTAAAGTTAATGCGCGTATTATTACTCAGTTGTCATTATTAGAAATGTGGTAAACTACCGGATGTATCCCTTCCCCCCCCCAAAAAAAAAAAAAAAAATTGCAATGTTTTTATTCGCTGCAAAATTAAATCTTAGCGCTAGCGGTCCGAACCATAAGCCAAAGTTTCAGAACTAACCATCGTGTTATTAGAGAGTTTCAGGGAACCGTTTCTGCACGTCCGGTAGGGTACGAGGGGCCCTCCGGTTCGAACTGCGCATGCGCTGCCACAGAAGACTCGCACATGCGCAGTTCGTACCGGAGGGTACATCGTACTTTATCGGCTGTGCTAAAGCGGTTCCCTGAAACTCTCTATTCAAAAGTAACACGAGATTTTTCTGAAATTTTTAATGGGAAAAGAGTGGCCGACGGATCTCTCGAATGCGTGCAACTGAGCAATCGAAATTTGCAGAAGATAATTTCTGACTTCTGATTGAAATAACGCTTTCTTCGGCAACTTTGGGATGTGGTTCGAACGGCAAGCGCTATCACTGGGTGGAGAATGAGCGTTCGTCAATACGTAGTTTGTTTTTACATTCGGAACGATGGTACACCTGAGCTGCTTAGGTTTCGACACTCCCTTTGTTTCTTAAGCTCTGAGTTACTATAAAGTAGTTTTACGTAAAGAAATGCTAGCAAAAAAACAGCATTACGTGGAAGTATAATACAGCACGCATTGAAATTGTTACCACGCGTCCGCGTTCTGGCCGATGACGCAAAGCCTTAGTGTTTGAGGGAACGCGCTCAGCAGCTGAAGAGTGGCATATAAAACAAAACGAGGAGCGTAGGAACAAAAATAAAATCATGTCCATCGTGCTGAATTTCGGTACGCAGATGGCATTTTTGAACGAGGTACTTTTTTTTTATACAATTCTAATTGGCATGAGTGGTTGGAATGGGTAGAGCGGTTGTTGTTTGTTTGTTTTCTAGAAAAAGAAAAACATTTTTTTTTCGGCCCGCGCAAGTAAACTACGGATCGCAAGAAGCTGATACTGTGGCAGTGGATGCCAGCGGTTGGGATGGAAGGCAAAAGTTTGAGAACATGACGTTTTCTGGATCTAGGGTTAAAAGTGAAAGAACAAATTTCTTCATGAGGTGAAGTCCACGTATGCCTAATATCGGTTAAAAAAATACTTTGCAGCAAAGAAAAAAACAAAACAAAAACAAAAAAGTTGTTTTCTTTCTGTATTTTTTTCCCTGAAATACATTCTAAAAAGCACCCGCAATGTATCTTTTTTTTTTTTTGGTTTTGGTGAAATTAGGTTTAGGGTGACATTGGCTTTGAGAACTCTGATATGTTCATTTTATCTTTGGGTCTACGTAATGCCATGTTGTCAAACTTTCGCGTTCTATCCCAAGCGCTAGCGTCACATTCACAGGGAGTTTTAACTTTCTGTGATGCGTAGTTCATTAAAGATGTTTAAGGAACCGGAATAAAACACGGTTGATAGACCAAACGATCGGTACCTCGGATCGGGAGATCCGACTACCGTTTTCCATGAAACGGCTTTTAGAGAACCGTGTTTGCAGACGGTTAGACAGCCTCAAGTAAGAATGTGTTCAACTGCTCGCCCGCGATATATGTTTATGGGCGTCATTTAATTGCAAAAATTTGCTGCGGGTCTAAGGGGATGCTGGTGGCTTTTCGAGGTAACTCCGGTTATAAACAACCCTAGAGATGCTTGAATATTTTGCTCGAAGAATAAGAAAACTTTTTTTTACAGAGCAAATTCTTTTCGGTATGATAAGTATTTATTTAAACGCAAAAAAGGGCATACTCTGCCATCTATAACGCCGCCATTAAATTGGAAAGGCTCTCTTTAGTTTGAGTTGAACAAACTCTTACTTGAGGTCCTTTACAGACGATCGGTGCAGGTCGCGCCCCCTGGTAGCCGAAATGCGCAATGGCTTCGTAAGGTGGGTAAAGAGGATGCATTATTTCTGAGGGGAGGAGTGTTTTGTAATTTAAGAAAAAAAAAAACTGAAGGAAAAACATTTCCCCTTTTCGAAAATAGCTTAAAGTCAAATTTGTGGAACTAACCCTATTTTGTCTCGTTTTGCAAGTATGGGAGTGCTAAATGTGGCGGCGGCGTTGCCACCACATTTAGCAGTTCGTCTGCTAAAGGAGCAGACAATCTTCGCGGCAATCATGACACTGAAACGTTTTGATGATGAGTTGAATTGGTTTTATTTGGAAACTTAGAAAAAGTCCTTAGAAAAAACCACGAATGCTTTCATTCACGTTTGAGGCTTCGGCAAGCCTCTTCGGTCAGCGATACTGCCGTTGTATAAACGAGTCAACGCTCTTCTGATGTCAGCCGCTTTGACCACACGATCACAGCTTACGGTACGGACAGCTGGACTACGGTAAGGGAGCAGTGACCTCACGCATGCGTAGTTCATACCGGATTGCCGATCGTATCGTATCGTTTGTGCAGAAACGGTTCCCTAAAACTTCGTATTAACGCAAGCAGAAAAAAAAAGACGGTTATTGTTTCTTTCTTTTTAAAGACGCCCGGTAATCTGGGTAAATGTAGTCCAGCACCAGTACTCGTCCATTGACTTTGCAGAAGAGTTCACAGTGTAAAGGTTTGCCTACTGCTCTACTCTTGTGCCACTAGGCCTACGAAGTGAGACGCAGCTCTTCAAGAAGGTCGAAGAGTGGTCCAGAAAGCATGGAGACCCGTTCACACTGTGGATGGGAGAGAAGCCGATGGTGATGCTCTCTTCGTACCCGGTGATAAAGGAAGCATTTATCGACAAGAGGCACGAATTCTCCGGACGCATCCAGTTGAAACTGGGTTAGTGAACAGCAATGACTGGTCTGGCTAGGGAAGTACTCTCTATAGCTTCCATTATTTGAGTTGAGCTGCTTTGATTTTGCAGCTGCGCTCCGGCTGCGGGGAAACCATGGCATCGTGTTCGAGGACTACAATCCGACGTGGAAAGCACTCAGAAAATTTGCCCTGATCGCCGTCAGGTGCGAGTAAATGAAAAAAACTAAAATGATATGAGGTTGATCGTGGGACATAGACGTCTCAGTGGAGTGGGAATTTTTGAGGATATGGTGTTAAGTACTTGAGAATATATCGTGCCATTAGTACTCTTCATTTTCTACCAAATGTCTAACGCAGTATAAAAGATCTCAAAGCGAACTGTATGAGCATAAACTAAGTGGTATAGACTGGGAATAGTTTGCATAATTGTCACCTTCGATTCAATACGCAAAAAAGTGTAAAGTTTAGCTATATGTTCGTACAAATTCGGTTGGTATTTTAAAAGGCCACATTTCGCGTAAAAGATAGACCTAACTGTAATTATGAAGGGCTTAATCAAGTATAAGCCGCTAGAAAATCAGTAACCACAAATTTTAATGAAAAAGCGCACTGATGCAGATATTAATGCGCTCTGATGAAGGGGACAGAGTGATTGAGAATACAAATTGCACGAAGAAAAATGAGAACTAGAAGAAGCGCGCAGAACGAGAAGTCGACATACTTTATTCTTTTCCCCATGCGCTATTGTTGTTTTCGTATGAAACAGTTTCTCTAATAAGTAAATGGTTTCACTGTTGTTTTTGATATACTTTGTGTGCTTTGCAGTGCCTTGTACTAATTTTTAATATTTTCTGTCCAAGTTACTTGTCTCGAAACACCTATTCTCTTTTAGTGAATTTAACGTGACTCGGTATGGCTTGACTTCCAACAGGAAATACGCAATGAATGAATCCCTGGAAACCCTCTGCGCGGGAGTGGTCGATGCATACGTGGAATCTTTGAAGAAGGGAGACAATACAGTTGACTGCAAGGACTCATTTATGTTCATCATATTCAACATCATCGGCACATCTGTCTTCGGAACAAAGTACGATGTGGTCGCTTGGTCTCTGTTGTTTGACTTTTTTAACCAAATGGGAATGCTGGTGAGCGTGTGGCTCTTTAAGAGCTGTCCCGCCTAACGAATTACGTACGACACGAGCGTAACCTAAATGCGGGATATCAATAAAAATCCAAGGTACCAAACTGGAGACTAGAATTAAAAAAAGAGGTTCATTCTTATACTGGGATTAGGAAGAAGCATCGCTTTAACCAGAACTTGTTGAGCATTCAAAACTGCTTGAACCGTTTTTTTCGGTGGTGAATTTAACTCGTGTTAGGCTTAATCTTATTAGGGGTGATTGCAAAACACCTAGTTGGGTAAACCAATATTTTTCGATCACCCGAAATGAGCGAAACGTCTTTGAAGGCATGGAATTCTTTTGAGTGGAACCCTTTATTCACTAATAGTTATTCCTATGTCAGTTGATAAATTGCTCCGCTAAATTTAGCCAACTCAAATCCTTGACTTCATGCCACTTCCGTGGCGTCGCTCTCATCATTTCGCATGCCCAGACAGTTTATTTCCACAGAATTGGGTTTCCGCGCACACCCAGTGTGTGCAAACGAGGGCTTGTTTTTAAACGCCGTGTTGGTGTGTGCTTCCGCGCTACATTTAGGACTCCAATAGACGTCACATGACGATTCCGTTTTCCCGCAAAACTAGAGCGGAAATTGGCAAAATGTTAAGGTTCTTTTTTCAATCACCATAACGACTGTGTTCTGCTAATGAAATAGAAGCGATCGTTTTTTAAATACTACATTCTATGGGGCCTCGTATACAAATTTGATGGCTATTTGTTTTATAACAGCCAAGAAGAAAGGTACAAGCAGGCACTTTTTTGTTTCAGGTTTGAGAAAGAAGGCCCTGAACTGGCTCGGCTAAAAGAGATTAACGAGGCTTTCTCCGAGGAGGCACCCAATGGCCTCCCTAGCGACGTCGTACCCTGGCTCGGCATTTTATACCGTAAACGAGAAAAGAAGATTGAGCGCTTATTCGCCGAGTTCATTGATATACTCGAGGGTCTATATACAAGGGCTTTAGAGTCCTATGTCCCAGGTACGTTAGTTTTTTTTTAAAGGTACTTCTAAGGCTGTGGTTTCCCTCGTTAATTCTATCAATGATTATTCGAAGGAAAGTTGATCTCAATAGGACTGTAGAAGTCTGCGCTCTAAAAAGAGCTTCTGAGTTAACTCACCCGCAGAAAATCGGCCAAACACGGCAAACGATTCAAGATTCCAGCAAACGCTGGAGTTCAGAATACGATTAGATCTAAGAATGCGATGCACACAGGAGCAATGAGTATGATACTTCACTTTCTCATTGTTTCTGAGTAGATCAAAATTTTGGGTGTATAATTGTATTCTGAGCGCCGACCTTCGCTGGGATGTTCCAATTGTTCAACGTAATTTGTATCTCTCTGTGTTCGGCTAAACAGTGAACTCATACCTTCAGTAGAGTCTGCACTTATATTTAATATAACAATCGTAGCGTTGTAATCTTAGGAACATCTGAATTAATTGGGAATATTAAAAAAAAATAAAAACCACTGAGTATGCTCACGTAAAGTGCTTGGCCCGTGGCTTTGAGATAATGACTCGGATCATGTATAATCAAAATGGCAGAAGCAAGACGAAAAGCTGGTCTGGTGCACTTGATGAACAGAATGAACAGAACAGCGCACACAAAGACAAGGACAGAGAAAAGGAACATGCAGGACACACAAGCGCTGTTCATCATGTCATCATACCAACTCGCCCAACTTACTACACTTCTGGTGCACTTACGTGTTTAAATAACATCGAAAATTATGAAAAAAAGAAACAAGCGACTCCGGCGTCGAACAGTCATTATTAGTTTACCCCTTTCGGACCGTGTCGGATTCGTATCTTTATATAGAAAATTAAATTAATAATTTCATATGCATTGTACGAGTCTGCAAACTCAGTGTTATGGGATAGAGCGCGTGCCGAATGTCTCGAAGGATGGGTAAAAAGAAACTACACATGGCAGTGCTAGGAAGTGCGCAGACTATTAACGTCCTTCAAACCTGGGTGATAAAGCAGGTTGAGTGACAATTTTGACACAAAGAACAACGCAGTGGTTTGTAGGATCATCACTATGTGCTCACTGGCGTTTTAAACCTGTTTTGAGCTTTTTATCTCACTCAGGACGGGCGACCGGTTCCGGCGCTGAACACGCAGGCTCATATATCAATATAATGGAGACGTTGTTGCATCATGCAAAGGAACTTCATTTTTAGAAAGTTGGAGTTATCTGTACGAGCAAAAACATTGGATTTCACCAGCTGCAGCGACGTCCTGAGTGCCCCAATTGGCTTCACGTAAAAAAGTTGTAGTATTCACTCTTTTACCCTGTTCAACCCCACGCTGATATTGCGGTGGAAGCTACGGGCTCGCCGAATCGATCTACCGCCTTCATTTTATTACTAGGCTCGGCTGTCTTTTCGTGGGTATAAGTGGAATGACGAGGCGAAAGGTGGACTGTAGAAGGCTCTTGGGCTAGTTGGTGATCCATGTTTTAGCGCTCTGTGTTGTTCGTTTCTTTTACTTGTCTGTTGATTTTAGCGATGGAGCAGACGATGTCGCAGACGACGTAGCAGACGATGGTGCTCATCCGGGCTACCTAGGGGGCGCTGGGCGGATCTACTAGTGATGACGTTTAGAGGAGGAAACGCGCAGGCCTTGTCTTCTGGATGCTATTGGCCGAACACTTCGTGAGAACGGCCTATTTCTGTGTTCGGTCATGGTTCCAATTGGAATGTCAGGAGGAAAAAGTTTTGTTTTAAGTCAATGTAGATCACCCCAGCACGCTCAAGTCTTTAACTTTCAGGAACCATACAAAACTTCGCGCAGTCGATGTTGGTGGCCCGAGAAGAGGCCATCGGGCAAGAGAAGGGTGATGCGCAATACCTCACCGAAGGAAACATGATCCAGGTTCTTTTCGACATTTTTGCTGGTAAGACCGCTCCCGCCATTTTCCTGACACTGAGTATTTTTTTTTTTTTAGTACCATAGCATCTTTATGATTACGAAACCGTGAATTCATGTGCGTCCATTCGTCGCGGTTGGAGTCTAAAATGGGCGGAAAGTATTTTTCGGTTGAAAGAAAAACCTGAATTATAGAAGCAATGCGCCGTGACGTCTCCGTGTCACATGACGTCACCGCTCCATTCTGCTCAATTTTACGCACCATTGTTGGCTTTTTACGCAATTCCTAACCGCTCCATCGGCTACAAGCGCACTCATGCCGAATACGCCTAGAAATGTGGATGGTTACGTAAATGGGAAAACTTGACGCCTATACGATCTTCAAACCTCTGCGCTTCTACTTTTCCGGAAAGCATTGGGAGAGCCTATCACTGCGATCTACACAAAAACTTGTGCCAATCGAAATGCCGAGTGTTTATTTAGATCTCAAATCAAGGTCTGCGAGGTTGAGCTGTTCACGAGACCATGAATTAATACCTCATGGGATCTGTCACCTGGTGGAACTCAGTTTTATGTGTTAACCTATTTTCGGCATCCTAATTTTTTTCTAAAACTTTCTCGTTGCTATAAGCCCTGTTACTATGAATACCCCGCTATACCGGCTGTTTCTAAGAAGGCCGGTATAGCGGTATACCTAAAAATAGAGAGGTCGAGAAGAAAGAAAAGGACCAATCCAGTGGTTTTCGGTGACGCCCAGCAAGTTTCTTATGGGTAGCATATGTTTATTTTCACTTAGTAAAAAGTTAAGGCTGCTAGAGATAATAATTTGGCAAATGCTTTTCTTTTTTTAAATCCTAGATGTCCGCCGCGGCTGGCAATTTGCTCACGAAAAGGGTTTATTATTTTCCTCAACCATCTTAGTTCTAGAAAATGTTTAAGTCACTAGTGGAAACACCCGGTATGGACGACATTTTCGAAGATAAATTGGGGAAATAAATGCTTTTCTTCTTATTATAAACTGTTTGCATAAGAACGCTTTTTTTCTTAAAAGGGGGGGGGGGGGGGGTGAAGCTGTTTGTAGTAGTTAGACATCACCGTATTACTTTGATTTGTTCTTAGAGTGGTGCGCGAGGGAGGAGATAAATTAAAAATGAAGAGTGTATGCATTGCGCCGAATTTTGTGAGCGCTATCTGTGGCAACGCAGAAGCCCATGTTGCACATAACGAATTTGTTCAGAGATAGTTTAATTCCACTTCCACATTTTCAGGTGGAACAGAGACGACCATCGGAACACTGCAGTGGCTGTGTCTGAAAATGACTCGAGAGCCGGAGATTCAGCTGAAAATTCAGAAGGAGATCGAAGACAACCTTGGTACGACGCCTTCAAATATTTTTTATTTCCTTGCCTTATTTGTAGTAATTTTATCGATCGGAGACTATCAAAATAATATTTTGTCTCTACGTAACAGCTTTCACAGAGGCTCACCCTTGGGCAAACGTGAAGCAAAGAAACACGTTTTTTTTTTTATTATTTGCGATAATTGAATAAAAATGTTTGCAGTTTTTAGCGCTTCATCTCCTATTCATAAATGTGGAGCTAGTTTTGATATAGCTTCTATTTTATGTTCTAGATAAAATGCACATGCACAAAAAACATCTTCCGCTCAATTCTTTTGGTGACCTGGTTGTTGTGGGCAGACAACCAGACAGAATTACTCGAGAAATAGTCGAAACATTTTTTATTTCTTCGTTGGCAGGCATATGTGTCAGTGAGCCATTGGTAGCGTTATCCGAGATGGAGATAATAATAATAATAATAATAATAATACTTTTATTGAATGAAAAAATAGCATGTACAGATTCAGGCCTACCGAAGCCTCATCGGGCTTGAAAGGTAGTGCCTGGCAGACAGTGACAAAATAAAGCAATGACAGTAAAACACAAAAACCCCACATAGATAAATCAAGCTATGACACACACAGAAAAGAAATCTTTATACAATTCTATTTCTGAGCGCTTTTTCCAGTTTGTATTTTGTACTAGCACAAAAAACACTCATAGGAAGCTTGTTAAAATACGAGGGAACATAGTAACGGCGCATGCGTTCGCCATATCTTGTGCTGCACCGAGGTAGACAGTAACTTTTTTTGGCCTTAGGCAACGGGCTGGGGCATAAGGTACTTTAAAAGAACTATTCCAGAAATGACGGAAAACTACAGTTTCTATCAACAGAGAGTCGAAATCCGGAAAGCATAATGCTCTAAATACGTCAGTATCTTTGTCAAGACTTAAATCATAAGAAATAACTTTTAACAAAGAACGCAAAATTGAATTGATTCTTATTTTCCATCGAAGGGCACAGTGGCCGTACACAGTTATTCCATAACGAAGCACACTATAGCCCAAGGCATGAATGATAACCTTACGAACGGATAATGGCATAACGTATCTAACACTGTACATCAAACAAGACACCGCGCGAAGCTTCTTACAGATATGAGCGAGCTGGGAATTCCAGGCAAGATCGCTATCAAAAATCAAACCAAGGTATTTAACTGTAGATGTGTAATTCACAGGGGTACACGCGCAATTAAGACAATTAGACGTGTGCAAAAAAAGCGGAGAAGTGAGACTGACTCGTTTTAATGGGCTATGAAAACAATTTAGTTGAGTTTTTGTCGTATTAATAGAAATTAAATTTGCATCAAACCAGTCCATTGGCCTATTTGCCGCATTTTGAAGCAAAGAGATTGCGTGCAAATACTTAGAAGCGCAGGCTACAATTACAGTATCGTCCGCATATTGAAATATTGAAGTGGGCACGGTACTAGAAAGATCGTTCACATAAATATTAAATAATAAAGGACTAAGTACTGAACCCTGCGGAACACCAGCTTTAATTATCGAGAAGTTACTTCGAAATTGTTCAATCGAAACACATTGGCGCCTATCCTGAAGAAAATTTTGTAACAGCAATAAAAAGGAACCGCGAAATCCCACCATTGACAGCTTATTTAGCAACAGACGGCGACATACACTATCGAATGCCTTACTGACGTCTAGAAATAACGCGCACGCGACTTGATTCCGCTCAAACGACGAGTTCAGCAAATCAGAAGAATCTTCAAGTAACATTTGAGTGCCTCGACCTTGCACGAAACCGTACTGAGAGGGCGACATAATACGATGCTTATCCAAAAAGCGTGTCATGACCAAGCACAAGTGTTTTTCTAACAGCTGAGCAATACAAGGTAAAATTGAAATCGGGCGATAATTTTCCATATTATTTCGCGCTCCAGCTTTGAAAAGCGGGATAACGATTGCCGTTTTCAATTTTAAGGGAATGACTCCACTATAAATGATACCGTTTAAAATTGATAGTAAATAGCGTACCCTTTGATCTAACATCAGTGTCAATTCGGAAGGCGATATCTCTGCGGCCTTTGGTTGCTCGACAGGCGTGCGTTTTAGCCTGTTTGTGTGTAATCTGTTTAACCATTTTCCTAGGTTTCCTTTTCACTAAATCAATTTCAGTTGTGAGTCAGCCGTCGTCCTGTCGTGTTCGTTTCTTGTTCTTCGTCTCTGTTTGCTGAGAATGTTTCCCCTCGTGTTTAACTCTTACCAACCAGCCCCATTTAAAGCCCGACTTCAAAATATTTTAAAGTTGCAAAAACGCAATTTCCGAAGGATTAACACAATTTTTTTAAAGTTTAGAAATATAAAAACATTAATCTTAGTAAAACTTTGATATTTTCATTCTACGTATTCTAAAGCTTATGACAGCGAAAGGACACCATTAAAAGCAAAAACATGTTGTGCTCAACTGTAAAAATGCCCCCCCCCCCCAAAAAAAAAAAAAAAAAATCGTTCGAGTATTACTATATATGTGTAGCGATACTCTTTCGCGACGGAAAAAAAATAACTTTTTGTTATTTTTTGTTATAAATATTTTAGGCTACAAATTTATGACCGAGAGGAGATGGCTAGGCCTATATCTCAAAATAATTGGGATCGCGGGCGACGTCACAATTTGAAGCGCGCACGCGAACATCGCTCATATGTATGCGTTTCTGTCATGAACATATTCGGTTCTTATTTCTCTATATATAATACTTTAGGATGTAAGAATAAATCAAGCTAAAACCCGAAATCACACGAATTTTGCAAAACATTGCTGTTTTGGGGCGCAGCTCTTAGGCGCCCGTTTCCGTGTTTCGCGGCGTCGCCGTAACCGCGCTAAATTTAGCGGGAAAATTGACGTCACGTGACCTCAACACCAATTTTAGTCCCCGCTAAATTTAGCGGGGGAATCGAATTGCTGTTGACGTCACGTGACGTCAATATTCCCGCAAAGTCTAGCGGAGAAATTGAATTTGTTCATAAGTTACGTTTCACCAAATCATGTGACGTCATTTTTCCCGCGAAATTTAGCGGGGAAACTGATTTGCTGTTTAGCTCAGGTGACGTAAATGTTTCAGCGATATTTGGCGGGGAGACTATGGGAGGAGAGGAGGGTATGGAGGAGGAGGGGAGGGTGCGCAGGAGAAGGAGGGGCATACCCTCCACTCCGTATCCTCCCCTCCAAGTCCTTTAGAGCTGCGCTCTAATTTAGCATTACAGAGATTTGTAAAAGTCTAATCCTTTTTGTCAACTAAATATTAAATTTAACTTGAAAGTCGTCAGTATACGCCACTTGTACGGAAGCACAATTTCTCTCATTTAAGGGAAAGAAACGACCGTGCCGAAGTGTTTTGTTTCCTTTAAAATGAGTGAGTCTAGAAACTTTGTCGAATGTACAGCGCCATGCAAAGGCTTCTTCGACAGTTTGAATGATTTGCTGAATACATTTCTGAATGTATCGAGCTTTTTGTACTGAGGTGGCCGAAGAACGGGCAATAATGTCATAAATCTTGTAGTGAACCAGCTTAACAAAAAAAAAAAGAATATTAGAACTAAAACTTGAAATATATACAACGTCCGTCAGAAATAAAGAAGACAAAAATGGAAGGCGCCTGATTGGCGCCACAGTCGACAGATGGAGGCTGTTCTCCGCGTCGACAGGTGGCCTTCGGCGGCGAAGTCACCGCGTACCGTATTTTTCGGCGGTAGTAGCTTCGGTGATGACGCCACTGTCGTCATGGGCTCGTGTTCGGAGGTTTCCTTCCCCGCTAAGGCCCCTTACCCAGCGTAGAATAACCGGAGGCTGCCCGTCGGAACACCGCCCGAAAACGTCGGCGAAACCTCTTTCGTCCTCTGGCACTCCTCGTACCCGGGAGGAAACCTCCAATCGCTCGTTCGAAGCTAAGCGCGCCGATGAAGATGACCGAACACCCCAACACAAGTGCGCATAAAAGTTAAAGACAAGAAAACAGGCGCAGTAACAACCAGTGAGTGAAAAGCGAAGGACGACATGTACCCGAAACTAATTGCCGAAAAACACGAACCACCACGTCTGTTTCGTTTTTTTTTTCTCATTTTCTCATTATTTTGTAAATTTCATTCGTAAAATAAAATGATCGTACACTTGTAATTCTGCAGAGAAAGCAGGGGCCTAAGTTTAGAAACGTCGTCTGCTATCGCCGAGGACGAAGAAAACGCCCGTCGTGGCCGCCTACTAGGGAGCCGGTGTTGAAGGCAGGGTCCATCTCGGAGCATGGGGAGCGCTTTGCTATTTCCTGGAGGACGCCTCTTCAGCGGAGATTGGTCGGAGGTGCGCATGCGCTGAGATTTCGCGCGGCGACGAGGAAAGCAGTCGGGAGGGCGCAGACGACGATCAACTCTTTCGGGATCTGCCCTCTCAGCTCCTATCGCGAAATTTATTTATGCATTTATTCTTTATTTAGACCAGAAGTCTGGGAAGTTGGAGCAAAAGGGCGACCAAAGCTCCCTGACAAGGCTCCTGTCCCCGTTACAGCGCTACAGCAGCAGTACAACAACATGCATAATTACAGACATACAACGTAGGGTGCACTTGTAACAATAAGCTAACGTCAAAATAAAAAAAAAAAGAAATGCGGCCCATAAATTACGTGACTTCGATCGAGCAGTGGAACAATCTCTGTGCTTACAATCTGAAGTGCCGTCATCTGACCGCGGTTCCGCCAACCAGACGCCTTTCTTGTTTGAGCAGACGTAAGCCGTAGGTAAGGATTTCAAGTTTTAGATTTCTAAATTCTTACCCGGGTGATTTAGTTCATTGAGATGTTTATAGCCTTAATGCACGTTCTTCTGCCACCGATGTGGAAAATCGTCGCTCGATACATCGCAGAGTCCGAGTTATGCGGTCCCTTCAAGCAGCCACTGATCCCTTTGCTTCGCGCTGTATATTTCGCCTCGGTGCATTAGGCCTTTAGGGAGGACAATGAAAATGGTGCGCGAAGCTCCTCTTTCAATTATCAAGCCCCGCCGGGCAACCAAAGGAGCTCATTATCTGACCGAAGGCGTAAAGTGGTGTCCGACGTGTGCACCCGTTCTCCCGCGAATCAAGTCCACGCAACGAGCACCTCGTGAATGTTTCCGCGACGGGGAAATATCCACCTCGGAAGCCAAAGTTCTTTCCCGCCCCAAGGAAAAAAAACAACAACAAAAAAAAAAAGAAACACATGAAAACTACGCGACACTTTTTCACGTTTCACAATACTATGAATCGAATTCAACGAGGTAGAGAGGCTTAAAGCGATAAACTCGTATCCCGCTCACCAGGCAAAAGTGACCGCCACTTGGCTGCCGCCATGTTGCACAGTTTTGACCACCTGACCGGGACCGTACCAAATCCTGAGACTTTTACGCATAGCTCAGCGGAAAGTCGTATTGCGATCGCCGTAAAAAAAGAAAAAAAAAGCAGCACAGTGGTTGACGTCATTTAGCATTAGGAAGCTGCCCTAGTTTTTGTCGTAAACGCACGTTTTGGACTTAAAACAAACGAAACATAATTTATCTCGTCGGTACTCGGATTAAAGAATTATTTGTGCGCGGTATTTCGTTAAACTCTAGACGTAAAACTATAAGGTAACGTATCTAGTGGTCAAAAATGTGCAACATGGCGGCGGCCACTTGGGGGTCACTTTCAGCTGCCAGTTTATCGCTCTAAGTTGGTTGAATTGCACTTCTTTTTCACTCGCATTGTTCAAACCGGAAGCCATTAAATCCAATAATCTGCTCGCGAGATGGATTCATGATAATACAGATAGTTCAGAGTGACGATCGAGACTTTTACAGTTGCCGACAGCTTAAGCACCACTGGGCGTGGTCTAATATGTTAATCGTTCTTGCTTAGTGATTGGACCTTCGACGTTCGTATCCACTAATGCGGAAATCTCATTGGCTGCGGATGAATTGTGAGATGCAGGGGGCTCGCCACTCTCTGGCTATGGGGAGAGTAAGTCGTCTGCTCCTGGCGCAGCTGGTTGCGGTGACCTTAGAAATGCGCCGCGTTCTGATTGGCTCTGATTGGAAGGGTACTGGGTAGACTTCAATGCTAGAAGCCTCGAGGTCTACCCACTATCCTTTCAATCAACCAATAGAAGCTCGGTGTTCTGACATCGTCGCAACTTCTGTGCAGGAAGCAGACATATTTGCGCTTCGTATTACACTATTGTCTTCTTTCCGCTAGGGGAAGCTCCACCAACGGTGAAGGACAGGGACAAGCTCCCGTACACAGTGGCCTGCATCTATGAGACTCTTCGATTTTATCCCGTGGCCCCGGTCGGTCTTCCGCACAAGACGTCTTGCGACACACAGGCTGGTGAGTACGTTTCCAAGCCTCGTATCTACGTCAATCTCTCTGAACTGTGCAAACTAAGGAACAGCCTGATGTTAGCGGTTACGCTTACATGGTTGCGGCCGTAAAGTATACAACGCAAATACAACGACTCTGATTGTGTAGAAGAGTGAGGAAGAAGGAAGACAGAGGGAGCATAAGTGCACTGCACCCCATTCCCTCCTCTCCATTCCATGAGCTATAAGTCGCGTGCCCGTAAACGTTTCCAGTGATACAAATATGTGCCATTGAGCTCACTTGTTAGGTCAGTGGAGTACTACTGGCATCCTAAGCGCTATCATTTGGCAAGACGATTAGCGCCTTTGATTGGACCATTGATAAACATATGTAATCTCGAAGTTTCGAGAAAGCTTAATGTAGCACTCCAGAAATCAAAATACCTTCCTTTGTTTCCACTGCATGTCATATATTCCCCAATGATGAGCTCGAGCAATCTACTCTCACTAGAGCTTTCAGAGGTGCTTCTGTTGCCCCAGCTGAGGGAGCGTATAAACACCAGTGGCGCTGCTCCAGCCTGAAGAAGAAAAAGTGTTAGGTATTTATTGCTTAAACTGGCACTGATATTTCGACAATTTGGAAAAGCTGTTAATAATAGCCTAGTTACTCAGTCCTTTATTAACTGCCCTTAAGACAACGGTAGACTGGTGGCCTCAAGTGTAGTTATACTTAACAAACAAAAGAAAACGACAGCGATCGTCTTTCCCACCGACGACCGCTGTCGCCGGTGAAAAAAACTGATATGCCGTCATTTTGAACTTTCTCAGCTGTCACGCCAGAAAAATACCCAATTTGGCACAAGGCTGGCAATCGTATGGGCCTAATTTGGGCCTAATACGAATGTGCCCCAAGGTGTTAGCCAATTCCAGAGCACTTTCCTCTGGCTTTTCGATGTTGTTTTTCTGGCTCGCCACGCAATTGCAGATGTGCGAGACTTGAAGCAAACATTCCACTTATGAACTGAAGAACCATCAGTAAAGCGTAAATCTGGCACTTGTCTGGCAATTTTAGCCCAAAATTTCCACGTGAAAACGGAACAACCAGTAGGGAAGCATAACTGTGGTAGTTCGTTGTGGCGATTTTGGGCATAAAGGTGCCATATGAGAGCCAAACTGTGCCAGTAATGAATACCAACGTTGGCACTTGTTGGACGAATTAGGGCCAAGATACGCATATTCTGGCCAAGGAAGGCCAAGCTTTATTGTAACGTGGCTGCTTGGTGCTTTTTAAGACCCTGAGTTCCCAGCAAAAACAAATTTTTTCCACAAAAACTGGTACTTGAGATTTTACCGAACTCTAGCCAGTTAAGCGAGGGACCGCCAGATGACTCGAAATCAACACGCATTACCGTTGCAATCACAGTTCGCGCCACGGTGTAACTCCGGCGCATCGTGATTGAGTTTTTTTGTCGTTATTGCTTTAACGACAACTGAGAACTCCGGTGTAACTAGAGTGCCAACTTTTGTGCCTAATCTCCTTCACAAGGCTGTTCAGACAAAACGCAGCGGATTTAAAATTTACAGGTGTTTATATCATTCGCAGTAGCAGTATGAACATCAATTGGACCGTTGATGTTGGTACGGACGCCTATCTCATTCAAAACGTTTATCGCAGTTCGTTGGAAAGCGCACCATATTCTTTTTATCTTCACGTTTAACCGTTTCAAGCTTAAAGAGGCTAGGACTCCTCATCAATAACAGATAACTATACTGCTATGACCCATTGTATGTTCCTATATTTATGTTAAATGTGTTTTGAAAATGGCGGGATAGTCTCGTGGATAAATTGATTTATGTACGGGGCCCTAGAATCCGCTTCATTTAAAAAAAGCCGCCTTGGTTGTTGAGGTGGTGGCGTCGCCTGCCCACCGGGCGACGTCCCCTTCCACGCACTCGCAGACGTGGCTATTTTGGCGTTTCGAGCTTCAGCCTCCTCGTTTACCTTCCGCGTTTTCAGCATGCGGTTCGTTACGATGACGTGTGCATTTCTCGCTTCGACAAAGTCTTGGAAACGGAACACAGCAACGATGAGAGTGGTTGTTATCAAGCGATGTTGGAAGCTAGCCATTTTCACTGCGACCCGCTGGCGACCAGCTCCTGGGACGACGAGTTACGGACGAACTCGCCGTGGTCACCGTCGTCCGTGACAATCTGGCAGGTTCGTGCAGGGTGGAAAGTTAAAAAGCCGAGAGCGAGAATAGCGTTGGAGTAGACGAGTTGCGAGAACGGTTTTACTGTCCCGTGGCGAAGCGAGCTAGGGCTATTATGGAACCGCGAGAAATGAGAAAGGGTTCTTGATCAGGTAGTTTATGCGCACCATGGTGTGGCTATTGTGCGCAATATTGCCCGGTCGCCAGATGGAAATGATTAAAAATTCTTAAATTCAATATTGCAATTACTACAGCTCTAAAGATTGCGAAACTCGAAGTATATACTATGTAGTCTATGAGCATCTCAATTCAAGAATATTCTACCAGTTTGATGTTTCTGTCCCTTTCAACCTACAGTGGTTCATTCATTTTCGTAACGAGTGATTTGCGCTATTAAGTATTTTTGGACGCTAACTTTTTTCCCATTTACGCAGCAGATAGCGAAAATTAATGTCTGCATTTACCTGCATATAAGTGAGTAAAGTCGATGAAGCAAACCCTTCTGGTTCTTTCAGGCGGCAAGTTCATCCCGGAGGACACCGCCCTCCTCTTCAACGTCTATGGCGCGAATCATGATCCGGCTCTCTGGGAGCATCCGGACGCTTTTAAGCCGGAGAGATTCCTCGATCCCTCAACGGGAAAGCTGAACCTTGAGGGCCTGCCTCCGATCCTCACGTTCGGCCTGGGCCCGAGGACGTGTCCCGGAGAAAAGTTGGCGCACATGGACATCTTCTACGTTCTCGTGCGCCTCATGCAGCGCGTCAGCTGCAGCGTGCCGGCCGCAACCATGAACAAGGACATAAAGAAGATGGACTCCAATTTGTTCCTGGTGCCAGCAGCCCAGGACATTATTTTCACAAAGAGAGACTGAGAGGTGCCGCGTAGGGAGGTGGTGGCCTGTTCACATATTGGCGTTTCGGTGTGGCACATGTCGGAGTGCGTGGAGTCGGGATGCTGAGTTTAACCTCCACCCCTTCCTGTTTTGATCTAGATGAGCATCGTACCGGTGTGCGGCAGGGTATCCCTGCTGCGGGATTCTGCTCAAAGACCTCAGACTGGAAATCATACTGCACTGACTAAATTTATTATCTGCAGCGGAGACACCAGACGCTAACTGAAACTGAGAACCTTCCCGCTGTTTGAAAAAAAAACACCACATATCAGAATTGCTTCAAGCGCGACAGATTTGATTGCAGAAAGGTGAGTGCAAAGTTCTGCAGAGAAGACTGTAGAACATTTGCAGCATGCTTGTGCGTTGTAATGCAAGCGACCCTAATTAAAAACCTATAGCAACTGGCTACCAGCGCCTACGGTTCGCAAATAACGAGCGATCTCCGAGAAATAAAAAAAATGGTGGCGGCTCCTGAACGCTGCATCGCAGCATTGCTGGTCTGTCGGCTTGCCCTTCGGCTCGGTGACATCTCCTCCGCTTGTGCCGTTAGCTTCGCATAAATAATTTGTCAGACCTTTTACAGGAATCTAAGTTCCCGCTTTAATGCAGAAGACACCCTTTTCAAAGCGTCATCAAGCAATATGGGTGGTCATCATTTCTGCGGCACGAATCGTGTGATTGAATCTGAGTCATTGCGGAGCACTGGCGGCCGGATTGTGTAATTGACACAGCGGCTTCTAGATGGCGCCAAGTCTAGAAAGTGGTATATTTTGATGAACTACACTGACATGTATAGGGAAATCGCATCTCCAACCTTCTCTTCTTGGCTTCAAGCTGGCTGATCGAGCGGCTCGGAAAGCTGTTCAGGCTAAAACAACTTCCATGCGAAGTATTGTGGCAAGGTCGACGGCGAATGGCTAGCTACTCGCGTCTGCATCCTGTCACAACCACACCGTAGGGCACTTGACATATTGAAACGCACATGGCGGAAGAGAGGTCGACGGGTACGGCAACGCTAACATGGCGTGCTCCGCCGGAAAACAAGCATTAAAGTTGTATCTTTATTATTTTACGTGTATTTTAGAAACAACATATCATTTGTAGATTTCTTGACCGTCTAATAGACAATAAAAAAGATACTACGAATCTTTGCGCTGCGACCATGTGAGGACTTTTGTTTACGTGTTTATTCGCAAATCCCAATCTGTTTCGGCATCACACTACTTGACACAAGCTTGAATCGCATCACTTCGTAATCGCGAAAATTATATGGCCAGCTGTTCTGGTAGTGACCTGTATCGAGAAGTGGCGCAGGTCGATCATGCAGTACGTGCGCCTCCATTCCCAGGAAACTCTTTGGTGCCTGGGTAATTTGGCAAACGGTCTCTCGGTCATCAGCTGTAAGTGCGTCTTTATCTCGGATTCGGGACGAGTTCGCTGGTTGATACATACTCGGGTCAAATCTCTCTTTGTCACAGTCGAAACTAAAATGAATCGAGTGAAAAATCAGGATGGAAAAAATATTCCCCATCGTCCGTTAAAGTGCGAAACTGACGGTGCCCCGACGAAATACTTAAATACCTTCACTGCCCTCTATAGTATGCTAAACGTTAAGCTGCTGTTAGAGCCTCTAGATGGCAGTGACTTTCAGATATAAACTTGGAAACCTTTTCGAGCAACTTAAGCAGTCGAAACGTTTTGTGTAGGCACGTTGAGAACTTTCGTCGAACCTAAAGTTATACGCTGAACCCAAAAGGTTCGTCCGATTCGCCGAACTTTTGAACATTTGAGAAATGTTCCCAAATTGTGTTGCCCAACTTTCCCAGAGATAGTTTTGAAAAAGAATGTTCTATGTCTTAAAAAATAACGGTCTATGTTAACTTACTCTAAATAATACGCCACTCGCTAGCCGAACTGCACCAGGTAGCTTTTACTTTAAGCCTACGCCCATAATAGCCGATTTTATTCCGTTCTCGGGTTGCCAAAGGCATGGTAGCGCTTTTTAGACGAGGACAAACGAAAGAAAGACGAGACAGACACGAGCGCTGTCTCGTCTGTTCGACGTTTGTCCAACTTTGAGTTAAAAGCTAGGAAACTTTTAATCTTGCCGAAGTCAAGATTCTGAGGGTTGGCGACATTCCTGAAGACAAATGTTGCAATACGAGAGCTGGATAGTCTGTCAGCCTCCCCAGGCAGGTAAAAAGTTAAGAGTCTCTGACCCAGCACCGCTATGCGGCGAGAAACTAGAGAGTTTGAGGGAACCCTGATTGCACATCCGATCTGGTACGATGGGTCCTTCAGTACGAACTGCGCATGCGCTGCCACCGAGAAGACTCGCATATCCGTAGTTACCGGAGGGCCCATCGTACTTTATCGGGTATGCAAAAACGGTTCCCTCAAACTCTCTACTGAGGGAGCGGATTAGAGGATAGCGCAAGAAGGGACGTCAGAACGCCGAGCTGCGATTGGAATGAATCGGGGGTAGAGCTATCTGTCTTTGTCTTCACTGCACTTCTCAAACGCGTTCGAATGCGAAAGCCAAATGACGGACTCCGGCTTCCCGCGTTCGAAAGCGCGTAGTGGAGACAAAGCCTGCCTGTTGTGCACTCTTTGAACGCGGAAGCGGAAAACACCGACGTTGCCTCGTTCTGATGTGTTGGACGAGTGCAGCGGTGACAAAGACGGTGAACTCCAGGTCTCCCCACTCATCCTTCCTTCCAGAGCTGTGGCGTTCTGACGACCCCTGTTGCGCTCTCGTCTCCGATTCTCTCCCTCGGCTTCTCGGCACATGGGGTCTGCTGTGAGAAAGACAGGGTCGCGCACCCCCATCACGAAATAGCCAACACGACGGAAAGACGCCGCACGCAGGGCGCCACCAGCATCGTCCGAAATGGCAGCACCCAGGAGCGTCCCTTGGAAGCGTGTGTTTGAGAAAAACAAAGCCATTCAATGTTTGGAACACCCCCTCGAAACCGATACAAATTGCACATCGGTGTTCGGCCCTTTTGCGTAGTTTTAATTCCACGTGTGTGTCAAACAAGGAGCACTACGAAACCGCGCTTAATTTGTTCTTTAAAGCGGCGATAGTACGAGCTCCCGTCAGCGTTGGCGAGCAACCTAGCGATAAAAAAATATTTAAAACGAACTCCTAGAACTAATATTCATGGAGCGTGAGCAGAGTAGAGGTGATCTCAGACTTCCAAGAATGTGCCCTTGGAGCTTCACGTCTTTACACTGTGCAACTGCGCCCTGACAGGAGCTTCACGTCTTTACACTGTGCAACGGCGCCCTGACACACAGTCCATAAAAAATAAACAAAAGGAATTCTAGTGCACAGAGTAGAAAGTAAAAAACGATCACAATAAAATGACCTTCACTTACAACTCGTTTCCGTCCGATTACACAAATTGCACTTTGACAGGTTGCCACTTTTGACGAGCTGCTATTTCTGCAGATGGACCAGTGAGAAGATTGTTTCTTTCGATGATTTGGCCTTCGACGAGCTGATCTACGATGAATTGGCTTTCAACGAGTTGGCGGGCTCCGGTTCCGGGCACCTTAATTAGTTTGGTTCGACAAAGCAATACACGTCACGCCAACTCCATAAATGTTTTTTTCGATTACACTCTACTCAATTTCACAGAGAAGATAGGTAGGAATGCATAATCTACATTTTCCAAATATGTGCTGCCACCTAGGCACGAGACTGGGTTCGAGATTGTTCGACACCCAATACGTGAGCTACATCCTGTTAGCCCATTGAGTCGCTGTTGCCTAGGTACGGCCTCCCCAAACTCGCCTTGTCCCCATCGTTGGTTTATCTTTGGCGCCGAAGTTGATACAAGGAAACCTCCTTTCCTCTCTGATCAGCCAGAGGAAAGTAAGAGAGACTTTTCCAATTCTATTCACTCTCGAACCGAGAGCTCTGCAAAAGCTCCACTCATAGATCCGATCGACGGCAACTTTGTGAACAGCATCGCAACAAACACCTACTGAACCAGAAAACATCCCACATATATTGGGGAGGAGATTGAATTACACACGGTGCTTTATGTAGACCTTTTTCTGAGAGTTTGGCGTTCTCCGAACACATGGTCAGTAGACGGGAATATTTACGTCCTCTTCCTCGATGGAGCGCCGAGTGCAGATTGTATACATGAGTGCCGCGGAAGCGTTCTGAGGGAACCCACGTCCAGTCGGTGTAACTGAACCCGAGCCCCGGCCGAACGCTTGAGCCGCGCTAGGCTATGCCATCCGAACGATGCAGACGAAATAACTAAACAACAGAAAAATGCATCCTCTTATTGTCAACGTGGGTTCAGTTCTTAACTTCGTGGTAAACGGTTCAATCTCCTCCTGGATAGACGCTTCCATCATTGCCGCACCTTTCGATTTGACATATTAACACCGACTGATTTCGCTATCCAAGATTTAAACAAAGGGCATCATCCCTATACCTGTCTTTCAAAGCGTAAATATGCTTCTCGTTCGTGCAATCGCCGCCTTTGGTTTTTGTGAATGTAGTGTGTGGTGATGACAATAGAACACGCAAAAAAATTAGAGGTTTACAATTACGTGTAAGGCCGAATTAGAGCGCAGCTCTTGAGGAGAAGGAGGGGAGACTGTGCAGGGGAGGGAAGTCTACGGGGGAGAATTTACCGGGAAATTGTGGTTCAATTTCGCGGTAAATTTACCTGCTAAATTTGGCAGAAATTTTCGCCTCTAAATTTGGCGCGAAACTTTCCCCTCTAAATTTAGCGCAAAAATTTGGCGGAAATCTTTTCCTGCTAAATATCGCAAAAACCGAATTGCCTGCTAGATTTAGCGAAAAAATTGCCCGCTTAATTCAGTATAAAAATTTCCCCTCTAAATTTAGCGAAAAACTGTCCCCGCTAAATTTAGCGGGAAAATTTGTTGCTATATTTGGCGGGGAAATTTGCCCCTAAATTTATTGAGAAAATTTCCACGCTAAGTTTAGCGGAAAAATTTCCCGCCTAATTTAGATGCCGTGTGACATAACGAGGGTGATGTCACACGTGATGTCACTGGTGGCGTCATTATGGGAAACGTCCTATAATACAACGCGCAGTTACGCTGCCGGCGACGCCACTCAAGCCGGAAACGGGCGCCTAAGAGCTGCGCTCTAAAGTTTCTTTGTTAAATTTTTTTTCGACAATTGATAGCTTAGGCGTACTATCTATACTCAATACCAGCACTGGAAAGTATGATTGTAGTCAGCAGTGCTGCAGAAGCAGTTTTTAGAAGCTTTGATGCCCAACGAAAATTCTGCGTCTACCGCTCAGATGACGAGTTATGTCGGTCAATTTGCCCATCTTCCGCGAATCAGCAACACTCGCAATGCCCTTCATACAAGATTCGCCGACATCTTCTAGAAACTAAAGCCTGCGTGCTTCGTTTTCAATCCCCAGCTACGTCACAGGACTTATACTTCGTTTAATCTTTAATTCCAGACGCAGCAGACGCCGCGAGGCGATGGACCCAGTCATACCCCGTGAAAAGCGCTCCATAAGGGTGTTCGTCATGCCCCTGTATGAGTTCTATTATCGCTGAACCAGTCGAAAATAGAGGTGGCCTCGTGACTGGCGCTTTTCACGCTGCTTTACCGGTGCCATTCGCTCGTATCGTCGCCGGCGTTTTGACTTGGGCTAAAAACGGGCAAACATCGAGAGCCGGCGGACGGTCTTAACCGCCGAGCACCTACGACGATGCTCACGATACTGGCAAGATCGCTCGGGAACACAAGATTTCTCGTTTTTGTTTTCAGTTTTTGCAAACATCGACAAAAGAGCACCATCGTGGTGTTCGTTGTGTTTCTGTGCGCTGAATCAATCATAAACAAAAAGAACCAGTGACTTGCACTTTTAACGCAGCTGGATTGGTCCCACTGGCTATAAAAAAAAGCAAAAAAAAAAAGAAGATTAAGCTGTGTGACGAGGCAACTTTCTCAGACGCCAGACGGTTTGAAGGCGGAGGAAGGCGAGAAGGTAATTTCGCGGCATAGAAAGTCCTTGAACATGCGGAAACGAGACGCAACACGAGCCTCGGATTTTCATTTCATCTCTCGTCGACGAGAGAGTCTCTATAGCGAATTCGAGGGTCGACACCTTATACGTGTTGTGC